GGTGGGAGAGTGGGTCGGTCCAGGCGTGGAGGGAGATCAAGCTCGAATGTGTTGTCCAGGCTGTTGCAGAGGTGGTCTGAGGCGAGGGATCCTGGTGAGGATAAGGCGAAGTAAGTCTAAACAACAATAACACATGCGCACAAAAACAGGGACTAAGACTTTAGTTTTAACTCTAGGTGGAGAGAGCTACCCAAGGTGAGTAATCATCCAGCGAGGTGAAGTGGTCTCTCAGCTCCTTATAAACGCTGGACCGGTCGATTAGGAATAGCCTGCAGCTGGCTGCTCTCCGGAACCGCCCACCTGCAGAGACTTGGGGCATGAATAGCAGAATGGTGCTGACTCACCCCAGATCCTGACAACTGCCCACATTTAAAGGTGTGAGTCACTGAAAAATAACGGTTATTTCTGATTTTAATGGGTCACTCTGAGTTTTTCATCCAGGCTGAACATTAAAATAGTCTCCTACACCTATCTCCTGCATTAGCTCAGATAGAAAATAGATGGTGAAACTGACAGATCTACGTCACACTGTCACTTAACATTCATGACTCAACCATCTTGATGCACGATGGGGAAGGCTGTTGTTGGATTAGCGTGCAGGATACAGCAGAGAATGTCTCGGCTAATAGAAGCTAACTGTTAGCATTAGCAACTTCACCACACAGCAGAAGCTCCTCCAGGCTTATGTTATTTGTGGAGATAAAAAATCTGAGTTGTAGAGCAGTGGGAGAGTCACGTTGCTGTTATCCAATCAAAGGTGAGATGTCCAAATATCAGGAAAAAATACTCCAAAACTTGCCTCTGAAGCTCAGCTTTAATGTGGGTCACTGCTAGTTCCTGGAAATGGTGCACCTGTATACCCCTCCCTCCCTCCCACACACACACACACACACACACACACACACACACACACACACACACACACACACACACACACACACACACACACACACACACACACACACACACACACACACGTACGGCTGACAGGGCATTTATTCCTACTAGGGATCACTGCAAATGTATTGATTAAGTGAGTGAACCACACCTTTAATGAAAATGTAGTCAGATTTGCAACCAGTAAAATTCTAGCCCTTGCTGGTCTTCTATCAGTTTGTTTTATCTGACTGTGGAACAAGAGCATTGCAGCAGCAAGAAAATTTATTACCCCTCAGATTTGCACTCATACAGACGTGGTCTAAAATGAAATTAAATGCTTGTGGTAGATCCAGTGCTATTGTGTCAGTAACAACCAGACAGGGCTTCTGTCTGCACCTGATGGAGGCAGCACCAGAACCCAGTGGAACACCTGGGCTCGGTAGCTCCACCGCTGTTTGGCTTGGCCTCAGTAAAACACAGCCCATTACCCAGTGGTGGAAAGCAAGCAAGATTAATTTATGTTTTTACTTTCATATGGGAAACAATCTATTTCCTGGTTAAAACGTGGAATAATATTATGAAATACTGTGAATTTCAAATTATTCTTGGAGGTTTGCGCCTCCCATGAAGCAAAGGTTAAGAGCTTAAAACTCACAACAGTAAAATCAAGTGGTGACGAGCAGAGTTTCTTTAGATTTGACCAAGGAATGGGACACATGACCCTCATAAAAGTGTTATTTAAACATTTTATTTCTTGTACAGTTTAAACAAACTAAGGGAGGGTTTTGTTTCCTTTGGAAGGATTCAGCTCTAGCTGAGGGCTGCACAATTACATTTGAACTGCATGTAGACTAAATCATTTAGTCTGGCTTCTGGGATAAATTTAACAATCTTCTATAAAATGCTCAATTATCATGTCAAAAGTGCTGCTGAACCGTGCTTGAATGCTGCTCTGTCACATTTCTTTGACCCGTTTCTTTTTTGCAGGTTGTGCAAAAACAATTTAACAATAACCAGCATGCTTGCTTTCCCTCTGACCATTAAAAATCTGTATAAAAAAAGTAAAATAAAAACAAATTAGATGACATATTTGCTACATTTAATGCTCTGCAGAAAAAAACTAAACAAGCATGAAAACAGTTCTGATTTCCTCATATTTTGTTTCATGAACCAAACTTGTATGTAATCATTTCAAATGGTCAATATTTCACGCTTTATAGAAATCTTTTAAAGATTTTCTCAGAATGTGGCTGATTTATTTATCACCATCCACCTGGTCCCTCTATCTGACCACGACAGTGTGTGTGCTTAAAGGGGACACATTACGTAAAAGTCCCCTCTTGCGTCCTTTTGTGCTGCTGTCTGGGTCTCTTCTGCCTCTTTAAATATGTCACATGTAAAAAAACAGTTTTCTGTCAGTGCTTGGATTTAGGAACAAGGTTCCTAAATCCAAGCTGTTTCAAAAGTCACTGTTTGTGATGTCACAAATGGGGAAAATAGAATAGAACCACAGGAAAGAGCTGCTGCTGCTGG